ATGACTTTGCAGGATCTCTTGGGGGAAGACAATCTGGACTCAGCCAGCAAAGGCCAAACTGACTGCCTAAAACAACAAATCCAGACCTGGCAACTGAACTCTGTAAAGAAATGCTAAAAAAGGGAGGAAAATCTGAAACACAGAAACACACATTTGGATCAAATACACACATAGCATTGACTGGAGAGTTCTTTTACTGATTAAAATGGTAGGCATGAAAGGAAAGCAACAACACATAACCCAACAGAGATACCTATCAGAGCTAGGGACACTGTCCACACTGACCGTGATCATGACTCCTTAAAAAGCAGAAACTTTCCTGTGAAAGGGGCACATGGCAGTGTGGAGTAAGCATGCTGAAGTCGAGACACACGCCAGTCTCCGTTGTTGTCAACAGTAGAGAACTTGAGTTCCCTGAAGCCACCCCAGTGCCACAAATCTAGAGTCCATTCAAGCAAACTTGACTGAAATGGCCCAGGTAGACATGAAGCTGAGTGCTGAGCTGCTGGTCGCAAGTGCTGCTCTGCTCAGCACCCCAAACCTGTGGTTATGCTACTCTAGACAGAAAGAGGAGTGGGGAGCGGAGGAGTCTGGTGGTTTGGGGAGGTGGAATAGCATGTGAGAGGCATCTTCAAAGGCTGTGGTTAGCACTGGCACAAGGTGACACTACCTCACACCTAACAGAAGGCCTGGGGACTATCTCAGACAGTCTTGTTGCAAAGAAACCCCGAAAATTGAAAGTTGACTGTGACAAGTGGGTGACCTTATGATAAAAGCAACTAGGGAACTGCTCTGCTATTGAAAGTAACAGAAACTGTACAAGGCAGCCTCCAGATCTTCACAGGTAGCCAAGCTCCCAGCTGCTCTCTCAGCTGAACTGCAGGCCGCTCAAGGCAGATTCCTTGTTGCCTGGCCTATGTAGTTTGGCAGACATCAGATAGGATGCTCAAATGACTAGTTCTAGTGTTAAGAACCAGGGTATGCAATGCCCTCAGCACTACCTGGACAGATAATGCTCCAAAGATGATCAGTCTTGTTGCAGCAGGAGCCAGGAGATCCAAATCTCTCCAGTAAGTTAATGAGAAGTGCCTTTACCCCGCATGGCTGGTTCGAAATAAAACAAGTTATGGCAGGAACAACCACCCTGACAAAACCCCGACAAAGCCCTGACAAAGCCCTGACAAATGGGGAAATTGGGTCCTGAGCCCATGCGAACTACATGACCGTATCTGACCACAGCTCAGATGGGACAAGGGTATAAAAGGAGCCCCGCTGGAGAGCCCTTTGGAGTCATTCCTCCTTGGAGCAGTGGGTCTGCACTCAGGCACTCTCCCGTTGGGTCACGTCGTCATCCAAGGAACATCTCGAGGCTGAGAGCCCTCCCTTTTCAGGTGAGGGATTGTGCATTTTGGATCATTGGCCATAAAGTTTAAGATTCAGCAGTGTAGTGATGAATCCATGTGACATCCTGAATCTGTAGTTGATGTTGGTGGATCTTAAATTGAGTTGGAGCAATAAATGTCGTTTAGCCTCAATTTATTGGTTCTGTTACATTTAAACTGGTGTAGTCAGTGGAATGTCCATAGAGGAAAGGTGACGGGTGCACAGATGATCCCTTCTCCCCTGGGTGTACAGTGGGAGAAAGAGAAGTGGTTTTAACCAGGAGCGGTTGCAGATAGAATGGAACAACACTGTGGAGATGGGGGAGGTGATGAAGAGAGCATGTGTGCCATCCTGGGCACAAGCTTGGTAAAGGCACAGGACTGTTTTGCAAAGAATGATTTGGAAATGGATGGTTCAGAAGAGGAACTGAAAAGAGAAAGAGAGCAAAATCATTTATTGGAACAAAAAATGGAAACTATGCTGGCAAGAGCAAAAAGACCCACCAGTGTTGTCCAAATTTGGCAGTTGGTTATGGGCCTGGAGGATGGGGACAGGGATATGTGGGGAGGTTCTGATGAGAGAAACTTCGAAGAGATGGTGGAGCTTGAGGAAAGGAACATGCGAGCTCTCATTAAAACCAATGGGCAGACATTGTGCATGGCTTCTGGTCTGGACCTCAGCTCAGGGAATTGCACAGGAAGTTTTTAAGCAGAAATGGAAACAGAGTATTTGTGGAGAGCCTGTGCCAGGGGAGATGGGGTGTTGTGCAGTGATGAAGAAGAGAGCAGGTTTGGGGGTCCAGGAGTGGTTCTGAGCCACAGACTGGTGGGCGATTGCTCAATAACCTCCTGAAGGGGCTCTTGGGCTGAGGTGTAGAGCCCAGGAGAGAGGAGAGCCTGTCCCTGCTCAGCAAAAGCACTGTCCAAGCTGCTGCAGGGAGTGCCAAAGGCTGCCTGCAACCAAGCAAGGTACAGGAGAGGGCTGCACTGATGGCTGCTCCAGGAGGTCATGGCCACCTCAGAGCCCTCCTCTGAGGATCACCAGACACCCTGGAAATAGTCTCTGAGGGAGAGAACTCGAGCAGCCATGGAGCACAATGCACAGGACCTCACCAGGATTTTGAACCTTCCTGACACAGACCATTTAGGGCTCGGAAAGAAAAGCCCTTTGGTGAGGTGCATTACTGCTTGGTACCTGAGTGGGGCTGCACCGATAGCCCCTCCAAGGAAGGAAGGGTCAGAAGCCCAGACAGACACAAAGGTGACACACCCCCAAACAGCAATGGTGCCTTTAACCCTTTGGCACCTCAGTGGGAGTACCTGAAGGGGTTAAAACCCACAAGTTTGGGTTCAGCTGCCCACTCACCTAGTGATAGCTGCTAATGGCTGCTGCTAAGGAGCCCGCAGACATATCCCCTAAGTCTGAGATTTTAATTGATACAGGGCCCGTATTAGTGTTTTAACTAAGCAGCAAATGGAGAAGTGAGGAATTAACCTGTCAAGGAAAGCTGTAAATACACTGGGGGTAACTGGTGTAGGAGAAAAATTCCCCTGAGCTCAAACTCAACTCTGGCTGCCTGGCGAGAAGAGGATGGCGGCTGTGGAAGTGGCTCTGAGTCCTTACAAGGAAAATAGATAAAGGTTTGACATACCAGCAGGCAAGGGATGGGATCTACCCTACAGCAGGGTGTGGAGTTTGGAATGCAGAGAAGCAGAAGCTTCTTGTGTGAGGCTTTCACAGACTGCCCCTGACTACCACAGCCTAGAACAACCTGTGATGCTCAGTATCTGCTGCCAAATGGGGCATCTTGGAAGTGATTAAAGACCTAGAGAAGAGCCACATTCCAGGTTGTGCACATTCCCCTTGGAGCTCTCCAGTCTGGCCAGTCTGTGAGGCTGGTGGCCAGTGTTGTTCATCAACTGATTCCAGGGAATTGAACAGCAATACTCCACCAGTGACTACTGCTGTCCCGAGCCTAACCTCTGCAGTGACAGCAGGACAGGCTGATGTCCACCCCTGGATAGCCATGCCAGATGTTAAGGATATGGTTTTTATGGTTTCCCTAAAGGGAGAAGACAAACCCCAGTTGGGTTTCACTTGGGAGGGTACGCAGTACACTTTAACCAACTCCCACAAGGGTATAAACATTCCCCCAGTATTGCCCACAGTGCCTTGGCCAAACTCCTCAGTCCTGTGGAGGTGCCAGCAAATGTCCACATATATGAATGTACAGATAACATCCTAATGGGTGGAGACAATAAAGAACAGGAGGGGCAAGGGGCTGGAGCCACCTGGAACCTATTGAATAAAAATGGGCTCAACATTCCACCCTCCAAATGACAAGGTCCCAGACAAGAAGTTAAATTCTTACGGGTCTGGTGGATAACAGGAGCTGTGGCAGTACCTGATGATACCCTCTCAAGCACCGAGAAGGACAAACCCTGGGCAATAAAACAGACTTACAACAGTTGTTAGGCACATGAGGTTATGGTAAAAACATGCACCAGGGTTTTTGGTAATTGCTCGCCCAACAACTTGCTTTGGAAAAACAAGTAATGTGACTGGACTCCACAACTTACAGAAGCCCTTATTCCTCTGAAAGATGAACTCAAAGCCTATCAGGGACCAGGCCCACTGCACCACATGATCCACTAAGAGTGAAGTGGGATTTGCCCCCACCCTTCTTATTGTGGTGTATTCCAAAAGGGACCACAAGGACCAGCAAGGCCTCTACTGTTTTCTCCTACCTCATTTAAAGAAACTGAAGAATGGTACTTGGGTTGACGACAAGGGGTCCTGTGCCTTACTAAAGCCATTAAGGAAGCTGAGAAAAAACACACATCTCAAGCTGTTATAGTACAGGGTCCTCTTCCCCTTCTGAGTCCAATCCTTAATGGATCACCTCCTCTGGAGGGAGTAGATCAAAAGGCCACAGTTCCGAAGTTGCATGCATACTTAGAAGGAATTAGTCAACTACTGTTGTTAAGAGAGGGTCTAACCAAGGTCTCCAAACTGCAGCAGTCTATAAACCCAGACTCAGGCTTGCTAAGTCAAGCCTGTAAGCCTTCTATTAAAGAAGCACTCTAACAGATTCAACTGAAACTCTGAGCAGCAGCAGCTCCACAGAAGATGGAGATCCTTCAAAGGGAACACCCCTGCTCCAGGAGAGCCACAGTAATAGTTAAACCTACGTGAGTCAGCACCAGGGCTTCCAGCCACCTCTCTGGAGCACAAGGAACGCACCACGCAGAAACTGCCTGCACAGAGACCACCCCCCTTCTCCAGAACAAAAGAAAAAATTATCTCAATCTTCCTCTAACCCAGAAGATTTGTCAAACGAGAGCATTGGCTTGTGTTCCTAAAGCACATGTGGGTTTGATCCAGTGTGTGGAAAGGTCATAGATCTCAGGGGGGTTGGTGTCACTGTGAAGAAGGGACACAGCACTTGGAACCACTGGCTTGGAAATCGTCTTGTCAATTTTTGCAGTATTGTTATTGTTATAATATTGTTAGCAGTACACATTATTAGTTTTAGTGTCAAAAGCTGGCCTGAGGGCCTCAGACCAGGGTGAAGCAATACAGAGATGAGGAGGAACTTGGAGGCTCTAACTCAGCAAGAGAATACCCAAGGGAAGGCTTGTGTAACTGGCAGTGCTTGAGGTGTCACCCAGCTTGCACCCACTGTCTGCACAAGCAACAGCTCCCTGTGTCACTCCTGTCCACACAGCCTAGTTGGCTGCAAAGAGAACAGAGAATGAGACCATGAAGGCTATCAGGGACTCGTAGGACAAAGCCCTCTCCTGAGACTCACAGGAACGCAGGCTTTAACAGTTCAAGGCTACGCTGGCCAAGGCAGCAGCCCTGCACTGTCTCTTGCCCAGGGAGCTTCTCCCATGTGAGGCTGAGCTGGAAAGGAGCCTGGGGCCTCTTCCCCAGGAGGGCACTACAATGGAGGTGAGCACAAGACTCCTCTGCTTGCTGATGTGCAGCAGGAGCCAACCCCATCCACAGGAGCTGCAGCGCCTATTTCTGGACAAAAGAAGAGGCTAATGGACTACACAGGTCACCTGGACCACAGGAGCTTCCCATATCCAGACAATGATCCAAAGATAGTGATGGAGCTTTCCTTCCCTCTCCCGTGGCCTTCACTTTATGTTCTGTACAAACAGGTAGAAGTCTACCAAGGCAGTGTTTTTGGTGCATTTAGCAAAGCCTTCTGGCAGAGGCACCATTTAAACACCAGGAACCCACCAGGGAAGAAAAAATTACCCAGAGAAAGAAAGAGAAAGAAGCAAAAAGCAGCCCAAAACCTTCACAAAGCCAGACATCTGCTTGTTTCAGCAGCTGAGAAAGCCTGAGGAAACAAGGCACAGCCCCACAGCCCTTCTCCCACAAGCATGTGTACAGAGGACAAGAATTACATATACCCTTGCAGGTTGTGCTCATCTATAAGACCTCCACGTTGATTGCCTGGAGATGCTGTTTGTCCCCACAGCACAGGAGTTATTTACCACAACAATCACTTGGAGAGGAATTCGGAGACATACAGCCCACTATGGATCCACACGGCCATAAGAGTTGGACCGAGGTTTGATGCAGCCTGAAGACCTACCTCTGCGAACCATGATCCATGGGACAGAATACCACAGCCCTTTGGCACTAACCCCAGAGAAGTGTTGCCCCAAACGCTGGGAAGCTGAAAAGCCAGCTGGATGCACCTCTAGACCAGGAATATGGCTGTGAGGGGAAACCTGTATGTCCCCAAGAGGCCAAGCAGGAGCCTCCAGGCAGAGGGTGTGATGAGATTTTCCTCCTCTCAGCTTCTCCTGCATGAGGGGTCTTCTGGGTTGGACAGGACATGGATTATTACAGCAGTTGCTCTCTGGAGCCAGACACCACGTTCTCGCTCAGCACATAGCCCCACTGTCACATCTGCCCTCCATGCTGCAGCACTGAGCTGCCCCAGATCTGGAGATTCTGGGACTCCCCCATCTCCACCATTCCACAGAGCCTCATGGCTGAACTGCATCCCAGGCCCAGAGAGTTCAAGAGCTCAGTGGGTACTGACCTGGAGCTTGGCCTTCACCTTTGACTCCACGTTTTTGTATTTCTGGGATTTCCAGAGAGCTTTCACAGGCTTGGGCTTGCTGTGCTCTTGGGCTTGCTCCTTCTCTTTGTACTTCTTCTGAATCTCCTTTATTCGCCTTACATTTTCCTTCTCATGATCCTTGGACTCTTTCTCTGCACAGTGAGAGGAGACACAGTCTTCACCTCTCAGACACCGCCCAGGGATTCTGGCTTTTGGAGCACTGGCACCAGAGCCCACAGCTCTGTCTCCAAAGCTGGTCCAACCGCCCACAGAAGAGCGAGCTCTCCCCTCCTCTGCAGACTAGACAAACAGTACTTTCTTCCCCATGTTAGATGCACACTCCAGGATTGACCCTCGTCTGCCAGAGGATCCTGCAGTGCCCAGCTGAGCACTGGCAGAGGTCTGTGCACATTACTGGTGTTCACAGACTCCCTTGTTCTGAGAGAGTGTGGGTCACTTGTCCCATCTGGGACTATGCCAGACAAGCCATACCAGCATCCTCTTGAGAGCAAGGTCATTTCCCAGTTCAGCACCCATGGTGTTTCTGAATGGTTAATGGCAGCTGCACAGCCTTAAACCTGCACTGTACCTGGTTTCAGGGTCAGCTGCTGTCCCACATTCAAAGGAACATAATCAAGGCTATGGATTGTATTTGTTGGTTTTGAATCAAAAATGATCCTTGGGCTCTCCAAGACGGGGAATATTTCAGCTGACACAACCAGACCCTCTTCATTCCTCTCCTGCTCTGGCACAGCAGTTCAGCTGGCAGGCACCACACTGGCACCAGGCAGGGCTAGGGGCAATTCCAGCACATGAAGTAAATCAGACACCCAGTGCTTAGCCTTATCTCCTTCCTGGACTTCTGAATGTACTCTGGGTGACCTCCCTGGGGAAGGGAACATCTTTTGCAAAGATATTCCCAGTATCCACACATACAGTCTTCCCAAATCCTGCCTGGCTTCACTAACAAGGAATTCCCCAGATTAAACACCCTCTATACATTAAGATTTCATCCAATCTATTTTTAAGTTTAACTGTAAAGATACTGGTTGTATTCAGAAACAGCAAACTAGGAGGGCTTTATTTATTTCCAGCACCTCTCAATAGCCTCTCATCCATGACTAGTTCCTCAAATACAAATTAAACAGCTTCTTTTTTACAGTCTCCCTTCCCATTCTAGACCTGGGCCAGACTGGAGTCAAGAAGGTCACAGCAGCTCTGGCTCCCGCACATGCGATGGCCCAGAGACACCACTGCCAGGCCAAATGCAGGAGGTGGAGTGACTGCCTTTGCAAATCTCAAGCTCTCCTCAGGAAGCAGAGTTGAGGAATTCAGCCAAAACTCTGATGCTTCATTCCTGACACCAAACACAGCTCAGGCCAGCAGGAGCTCAGTTGTACTTACTCTCGACTGGCAGCCTCCCATCAACGGAGAGCCCTTCGAGCTGCAGTAAGAGACTGAGCATCCCCTTCCGTCCCTTCGCCAGGAATTCCCTTCCACTGGGGCGAATGCGAGGGGCTGGTTGGACCTGGCAGGCTCTATAAGGGTTAGGAACTGGATCCAGAGGGTCAGAGGTAAAATCCAGATTGAGAGCATTCCCTTCCAGCCTCCCTCGAGCTACAGAGAAAGGAAGAGAAAGAGATTATCAGGAAACTATCTGGCCTCGTGGTTTTCTTCACCCACAGCCTACAAACAATGCTGAAGATCCCCTCTCCATCTCTACCTTATGCTTTCCTATCTTTTGACCAGCTGTACACACCACCTTTAGGCTCACTATCCGTGAAGCAGCACCTGCACCAGTGTGAGTGGAGACTGTTGAGGATGTCAAAGAGTAAGGACATCAAATGGACAAGCTGTGCCATGTCACAGTACAAAAGCATACATCCCTAACACGCAGCAAGGACTCACCTGAGAAGGGGCGTTTGTAATAGTTTGGAAAGAGCGTAGGGTCTGGAGGAATGGGTCCACAAATCCTGGATGGCCCTTCACACATCCTGCTGTGGCTTTGCCTCCACCACAGGAACCAGCCACCACTGAGAACAGAAATGAACAGGGCTCACTGAGCCACTGAAAAGCCAAATTTTTATATATATACATATAGGCGAACCTCTGACCTTCATTACAGAGCTTGCACCCAGCTACAGGGATGAGCTGCAGGTAGGAAACCACAAGTCACCCCAAATTGGACTCCATGCAGGTGAAGCAAGGGTGAAAGCACTGTCCCTGTTGTGGGGCTAATCAGCATTTTTACCAGCATGAAATCTGAAATGTCCACAGTTGCTGTAGTATCGCTATCTTCAGTACACAAAATCCTTCCTGGCTCTGCTCTCCCATACAGGAACATTTACAGCAGACATGTGAGCAGGAGCTGAGCTGCTATAACTGTCCTGTGTGTCTTTAGTGAATAGGAAACACAAGGTAGCAGGATACCATCTGAGACATTTTAGCCTTAGATTTGAATTATTTTGCTCCTGAGGCTCTTTCTAAATAGCTCCTGTGGTTCAAAGACAACCTATTCAAAGCAAGTTGAAGCTCCTACTCCACACAGGTAAACACTCTGCTCTATCCTCCACAAGACACACACCAGCACCAGCACCACCTTTAAGTGGGCTGGGGCTGAACCTTGAAAAGACCTGAGAAAGAACAGTTCACTGCAGGACCATGTAGGGGCAGATGGGGAATTTCCGGGCAAGAGCCTTGCGATTAAAAGAGCCCAGCTGGTCTCAGGGAGACCAGAGTTACCTGCTTAGAAAACATGTTTTTCATTACTAAAGAACTTTTCAATGTTAACTGCCGGACCAGCACAGATCCACAAATCCCTGCCCTGGTCTCTCCTGCCTCTCTTCTCCCCACAACAAGAGAAGCACAGATCCTTCCAGCACAGCAGTGGGCAGCATCGCTCAACAGCATCTCACGGACAGCATTCTATTGCCTGTGTGAAGCTTGAGGGACTTGCTCCCTGCTCAGAAAACAAGGATGCAGGATGCCACAGGAACACGCACAGACCACTGGTGAGCTTTTGGCAGATGCCACAGAAGTCTCAATCCCTCCTCAGAGTCATGCCATGATTTTGACAAGTGGCAGGGCAGCTTGGCTGGAGTCACTGCTGTAACAGCTGGGCCTAAACCTGCTAAACCTGATTCCTCAGGCAGTAACTTAAAGATTTCTGAAAGACGCCGACAGGAAGAGCCCCTTTCAGGATCCTCAGCATGCCAGCACCGTCGGGATGCAGCTTCTGCAGTTTAATTTATAAACCAATAAACCATCAGTACAAGGCTGAGTGAGTCTGAATCATGGCAACTAATGCACTGCAGTCTTCCTCACTAAATCACCCCTGTTGACATGAGACCCATTAGTGAAAAGCTGTTATTCATCTCTCAGACACAATTGCAGAGGCAATGTAAGCATTGCTGATTACTGCACACCAGCACGCAGGTACAGTCTGTACCCAGCTCCTCTGGAAAAGCTGTTTCTGAAAAGCAGACACAGACCCTCAGCCTAAAGTAAAATGACACTGGTTTTGGTATTATTTAATCTCCTTGATAATGGAGCCTACTAAGTTCAGTCTTACTGACTCTTGTCAGTACTAAGTACTTGTAAGTACAGGCTCTTGTACTGTAGAAAAAAAAATCATGTAACTTGAGGTCCCTCCAGAACAGCTACTGGCCTTGAAGTTCACATCTGATCTTGGTCTGAACTCTCATTCAAACCCAGTAATTTACACGCAAAATGACAGGCTGAAATCATGACCTGTTACCAGAGCAGGCAGTTGTTGCGGGGGATTGAAGGAGGAAAGGCAAGCTGATGGGCGGCGGGGGATGGAAGGCTCATTTTATACCTTCACACAAGTTCACATAATCACATTGCACATCCCAACAGCACCCTGCCCTGCTGCAGGGAATTTGCAAATGACACCCACTCCCTGATTTGCAAGTCATATCACCTCTGGATTGGGATCTTGCAAGATCAGACAACCTTATTACAACGGTAAGCATCTTGCCTATCTAGGTACCTGCAGCAAATTTGCCTGCATGGGACACAAGCCCCTGGTATCAGTCTCCCAGCCCTGAGGAGCAGCCCAGGCTCAGTTACCAATGATCACAACAGCTTTCCCAAGCTGCTGCTCTACTTCTGCCGACCATGGGGGTATTTGGGGACACCTCATGGCTCACTTCTGCCAAAAGGCGATGTGCGGACACTCTCTGCTGCTATTTCCATCCTTCTACTTCATCTCTTGTGACAGCCTTGTAGCGCTGTTCTCAGCTGATTCAACTAATTACCCCTGCATGAAACAAGTCACTTGTTTTGCCGGGTTAGTTTTCTGTCCATTTAACCTTCTGTCCAAAAGTAACCTGGCTATAACCTCCACATGGGGATCAGACAGGCACTGTGGCAAGCACAAGGGTAACACAGCAGGAGCATGTGCTTATGAACGCAGAGGAGAGAGGAGGAGGGAACAGGGTCAGCCCTTTCCAGCAGCGACCGATCACCCTCTCAGCCACACTCGAATTTGCACCCCAGAAAGCATCTTTTCTACCACCACCTTAGAAACCTAAGCATTAAGAATACAGTATCCAACCTGTTGCCACCAGAAAGAAACTATTTAGAGCACTGGTAGGCCATGAGATGCAGAGATGGGTTAAATCCTGGAAAAGACACGTGTGCAACTCCTCTCTGTTCTTACCACCATGCCAGACTGCAGAACTCACTAGGCGAACAGCCTCCTAGCCACAGGGCTACACCAACCCTGTTCCCTGCCTCTCACAGCCTCAAGAGGTGCAGTGCAGTTGCCAGAGTAACCCAATGACTTCAACATTGCTTTACTCACTGACCTGAGCGCTGTTGGCTGCCCGCTTCCCCACCACTGTTTAATCCTGGCCTAGGAGTAAAGCAAAGCAGGCTCCAGCCCTACCACTCCCAACGTCCCATTAATTCAACTTACCAAGTGTCAGAAATGGTACTTATCCCCCAGATAAACTGAGATCTTTCAGAGCCCGTATAAACCACAGCTTCCTTTTGTGCCTTGTTTTTGGCATTGTAGTTAAGGAAACTACAAAACATGGAAACGGACAAGGCTTTGGCAGGTTTTTTTCTCAACCTGGAACCTGCTGCATCTGCCTTTGAAGCATTCCCTCTTCTTCACAGATCATGCTTTCACTGCACCTGGGTCCCCGGCCAGGAATTTGCTACCACACATAATGCTGAAGCAAGCTCCGCTTCATGTCTTTATGAGCCAACCTCGGCAAAAAGCATGGGGAAAAAAATCCCACAGCTGTGATAAACTGTGATAAGCAGAGCAAGCCATCTGCAGAATATCAAAGAGCTAATCTCCATGCAGCTGGTCTTGTCGGTTTCCTCCCTTAGTAGTTTTAGCTGAAATGAAAAGTAGCACCAGGAGAACCCTATGCTCGAGGGCTGCACTAAATGGGGGCGGGGAGGGACACACACAGATCTGGGACCATAGCTCCTGAAGAATCAGGGATCAGGAAATTAGGTGAATGCGCTGTGAATTGACTCGGTGATGTTAGTCCATGCCTATGCTTTCCCCTTGTAGACTACAATGGGAGAGATTAATATTCTCCTTTTAATAATATTCACCATGCAGGTTCCCTCAGGAACTTCCCCATCTGCCACTCTCAAAGCCCCCTTTTCTCTTCTGTCTATCTAAAGACAAAGAGGGACAGGTACGGCCAAGTGTAATACTGTCATCTGCATGTGGAACATGTTTCCAGGGAGCTAGGCACATGTCCACCAGCAGCCCTTTAGGAACAAAGCCAGCTTGTATTGTTTGCTCAAGGAATCAGACGTGTCCCACAGCACCCTGGAGCAGGAGTGAATGAGGGCCATGCTCTGCACCCGAAGATGGGCAGAGGCTGACAAGGGTACTGCAGAGCTGCAGCCAAGTCAGAGAATCACAGAATCACAGAATCACAGACTGGTTTGTGCTGGAAGAGACCTTAAAGCTCATTCAGGTCCAATCCCCTGCCACAGACAGGGACACCTTTCACTAAACCAGGTTGCTCCAAGCCCCGTCCCACCTGGCCTTGAACACTGCCAGTTCTCTCTCAGGAGACCTAGAAAGGATGATGATGCAGGAGAGGCCCCACCTTAACGTGTCAGGTTCTTCTTTGATGCAAGGATGAGCCATGTGCTGAGATTACAGGAGCTGATGCGCAACACTGCATCCAGCAATGGAAAAGGGGAGTTCGTGTTGCAGTCTACAGTCTCTTCTGGCTGTGCTGTCATAGGAAATCAATACAAACCCTGTTTTGGGGCCCGTGCCAAGACCCCACTGAACAACATCAGATACTCCTGGAAAACTCGTCCTGGGTTTCATCCCCTGGGAAGGGGGTGAGTGGGGGAAGCGCTGCCAGAAACACCGACCTGGGGAGCCAGAGCCAGCCAGAAACCCTCAGCGCTTCATCCAGGCAGGTGCAGCAACGCTGTACCACGGCTGCAGGCTCCAGCCCGGCTGCCCTCGGAAGGGGCATGGCGGCCCCGGCTC